TTTTCCCCCTTGTCGGCATTCTTTTCAAGAAAAGGTTGCTCAAAGTGGTTCTTAAAAGATAATTCTAGCTTGCTAAATTTAGGGTGTGGATAAAGTCCAAAAGTGAGAATTCTCCCACTGGTAATTGTGCAAGAAATGCTAATATGTACAGCAAGGGAGAGTGTCTTCAAATAATGATCTCTCTAGCCTCCTTCCCTGACACAAAACATATAATTTAACAGGATACAAAGTAACTGGGTTGGTGACAAACTCTTTACCACCATGACTGAATTTTCAATATAAAATGAGGGACGCTTTATATACAAAAATGAATAAAGAACATGCTTAGTATGTGCTAAGTCCTGCTTCAATTCCTAACACTCACTGTAAAATAAATAAATAAATAAATAAATAAATAAATGATTCCATGTTTATTCTTAAAAAAAAAAAACAAAACACCTTGAAGTCAGAGATAGTGTTCAAAATCTGCAAGATATCCAGTTCTTTTCATAGTTCTAGAGGGTCAAATGCAGGGCATTGGGCATGCTTGGGATTTTGGTTCAGGATCTCACTTTGTGACTCAGGCTGGCCTTGAAATCTCAATCCTCTTGCATGAGTCTCCCAGAGTGTTGGCTTTGCAGAGGTGTGCTCCCATGCCTGGCTTGCTTACTTTTGTATTTAAGGAACAATGAGATGTGTGCCTGTAGCCTGCTTTGAAACGCATTAAAACACATTGATGATAAAAAGATAGGTGATGAAGTAGATGTAGCAAAATGTTCTTGGGATAATTCAAGTGGTTCACTCTACAACCTTTCTGCTATAAAAGGACAAAGGTGGCAGGTGCCACACATAGTCAAGAGTAGCCTTTACATCCTAGGAGGATTACAGAGCTGGTGCCAGACAAGGCAGCCATGGAGCCTAAATACACTCAGCTCTGGACATGTAATTCAACCCCCCCACCTTCCAACCTGGCCCCAGATGACAGGCTGGTGGTAGTATCTTGTGGCCCAAAAGACAGTGCAGGGTTAAGAAATACAGAAAGATGGAGTAGAGCGTATTGATCCATGGTACCTGGCTACTTCTGGAAGGGACATGTTGCAGTTTCAAAGTGAGATGTCCCCCAGGGGTTCATGTGTTGAACGATTTATTCCCCAGCTCATATTGTTGTTTGAAGAGGTTATAGGACCTTTAGATGGGGGCGTTGGAGGAAGGGTGCGGTAGATGACTAAGGTGGTAGGCACTGAGTTTTTATAGCTTGCTTCCTGTCTTATCTCTGCATCCTGCCTGATGACTTAATGTAACCAGCGGATCCCACCGCCATGCAGCCTTTGAGCACCATGCCTTCTTTCCCTGCCAGGATGGTCTGCATCTCCTCAAAACACAAGGCAGAATTAATCTTCCCTCTTCTGTGAGCTGTCTTGTCAGGCTTCTGCTCACAGCAATGAGACTGAGCTAGAAATGCAGACAGAATGTGTTTCTATTATGTCAGAAAGGAAATGGGCATGGCTGAAAGCAAAATCAGCTTGCTAAAGGCCACAAGTGCCTTGCTAGTTCTTCAGCCTTTATCCCTCCAGATACAGTCTTTTAGTTTCTTGCTCTCTGGGTTTTTTATCTAGGGGGCATTGAAGACAGACGCTACAGACACTCATAAGCCCTCCATGAGATTAATTTTAAAGTCACCTCTTTGACATTAAACTTGAGTCAAAATAACCCAGAAGAAATTTAAATGTTGAAAGTAGCAAAGAAAGCAATCCTCTGGCATGTTATAACCATTGCATTTTAAATTTGAGTTCCAGAAATTTTCTTCTGGTCTTATCAGCCTCTTCTCGATACATCGTCTCTTTGATGTTCCCATCATCAAAAATGTTATTAATGTCTTTGAGGATATCAGTGCCTTTTTGAGACACAATGCTTGTTTATTGAACATTTAGAACTCAGAGGAAGTCTCTATGGGGACCCAAACCATCATTTAGGCATAAACACTTAACATCTTTTTGGTGTTTTTGAGACAGGGTGTCTCCGTGCGTAGCCCTGGATGTCCTTGAACTCACAGAGATCCTACTGCTTCTGCCTCCCAGGTGCTGGGATTAAAGGTGTGCACCCCCTGGACACATATGGGTTCTTGATGAGCCGTAGGGAAAGAATCAAAGCACTAAGATGACATTTGATGTCTTTCCATCAGAAAGGAAATGGACATGACTTCTGTTTTCTTAACTTGCATCAGTTCTAATCCAATGCCATCAAGCGGGATAACAAATAGCTTAACATGTTCCATGAAGTTGTATAACAAAGGTTCTTGTCTCCAATTTGATCACATTTGTCCCTCTCAACCCATGCACAAGGCTTCCACAGAAGACTGAAGTTTGAGTTACATGGTCAGAGACAGGAAGATATTAGCCTGATGCTGAAAGAGGTAAGAGACCATGGAATGGAGGGTAGACACTGGAAAGGGGGAAAACATGACAAATCTGAGGAATAAGACTACTGAAAATACGGAAAGCCCTGGCTGAGTCAGAACTATCAAGAAGGAAAGGTGGTACGCCTCCCTCCTGACTCCCTTCCTTTCTCTCCATAGCCCTGACTATCCTATAACTCACTATGTAGACCAGACCAGGCTGGCCTTGAATTCAGAGATCCACCTGCCTCTGCCTCCCAGGTCCTGGTATTCCAGGCCCAAGTTTAGATAGAAGTATGCACTGTGAAACTCACCCATGGCCATCTGTTCAGTCTATCACTGGATTTCAAATTCTACCCCAAAACAGGTCTGAGCTCCTCATTTCAGTTACCCATTTTGTAAATGGTGGTTCTACTTAAGGCTAAGTCATCCACCATGGAAATAAAACACAAAAGCTATCCAATTAAGCAAGGAAGCAAAGAGCTTGAACTGCAAGACCCTACCCTGTTAATAATAACGGCTCAGGTACAGATCACTGAACGGAGGGTTTTGTCTTCCCTGACTGCATCAGGCTCAACAGCAAGCCAGTATCTGCTTTCAAAACTGTGGGGCAGTGAATCTGACATTGAACTTGGATCCACACTGTATGGGGCTGTGGGTTAGCCTTGACAATGTTTAATTAAGATTTAAAAAAAACAAAAACAAGCTAATCCTAAATTCAGTGTATTCAGAAAAGCAAGCAGAATTTCTTGTCTAGGGGAAAACAAAATAAAGCCCTGAAGCTGGTATGTATAGTTACAACATAACTTTGTTTGATCCTTTTCACTTTTAATACACGCAGGTTATAAACTCTTTGATGGCTATGTAGGACCCAGAAGTGGAAATAATTAGCTTAGTTCTCAAATGGCTCTTAAGTGTCTTTTTTTTTTTAAGTTTTATGTAAACTTCAGGATGATTACTGCTGTATCAAATCCTCCGTTCTTGGCCTCCACACTGTACTATTTTTCCCCACCTCAGCTTCATACAGAATGGTTTGAACTCTATAGTTCTCAAGTGTCTTGTTAATCACAGAAAATGGGCACATTACCATTTTCAAGATCAGGCGTCACGTCCTGGCATCCACCCCTGCTGTTGCTGTCATCTGTGTAAAGCTCTCTACCCAAACACAGCACTCACACCATTTCCCCAAGGTAAGGACTCGCCTGTCAAGGGGACAGAGCAGGCAGGTGAACTAAGTCACAAGACTTCACCAATGACTGTGTGAACTGGGGACCTAGTAGTTAAGTGTGCTCAGCTGCCGCCGATTTAGCTCATCAGCTAAACAGTATCACTTTCCCATGTGTGTGCAACACTACCGTAGTTGCAACAGAACTGAACACTGGGAATAAAAATTAACCCTTCCCCCATCGTTTTGACCTTTCGATACTGATTTGGAATCTGTGAAAACAGGTGTTTTTGCACTAACACTGATGAATTCTCCTAACAGCAAGCAGCGATGGTGAGGTGGGAGATGCAAGGCCAACCAAATTACCCTTCCCACCATGCTCCAGCCATGCATCCATTCGTGGCAGGAACTGGAGGTGAGTCTGAATGGGCTGAGAAAATGCATCTTACTCCTCGATACTAACAGTGCTAGAAGAGAGTACAGTGACCCACCAGAGAGAGACCAGGTGCTCTAAAGCTGGCAACAGCAAGCAGGGGTTACTTAAGTGTGAACAGCTAGGGCACCTTCGTGCAGAGAACCCTATAGTCTTCAGGTACATCACAGTATTATTGTCCACTCTTCACAAGCCAATGGCCAGCTTGTACAAGGGACTGTACTTCCTCTAGGTGCCTAGTACCTGGTGACTACCTGTTCCTGGACAGCTGTTAGTAATACCCTATACCAGGCTCAGTAAACAGCTTTCCTGACCTCACCACCTAAGGCATGTCGTCTGCTTGCCTGGGCAAGGACCTGTGCTACCAAGCAGGAGGGAGCTAGGGTCTGGCTACTTTATGCTTAAGAAAGATGTTTCCATCATCATCCCATTTTTGCATGTACTCACTGTTGATACAGCAGTCTCTTGGGAACCTGGCAAAGCTAAGATGGCGGATGTTGGTAACCAACCTGGATGCCCACAGGCCCACACGTTGTCACCATGCGGAAACTGAGATGGGGTCAGGAGGCTAGGTGCCAGAGGGCGACTGCCAGTGACACAGAAGTAGTAAAGAGATGGGCACCAGGGCAGCCTTTGAGGCTGCAAGGTCACTGATGATCAGCTTGCAGGTAGAATCATATCAGTTCCTCCAAGTCTTACCTGGTTGAGTGCTGTGTTTGAACACACTGACACATTCCTACAACTTCTGATGATCGATCCTGGCTTCATTAGATCTTATTTCACATGGTGTTCAACATTAGCCCCCCCCTCCCACTTTTTTATTGCTGGAAACTGAACCCAGGTCCTCGATCATCTTATCGTAATCAAGCTTTCTGAGCTACATGCCCAGGTGTCAATTCTTGTTAATGATTAGAAACCTCAAGTATGGTCTGACTTGGGAAGATGAAAGAGGCATCTCCCTCACCTGGCACAGGCTGCGACCACAAGCAAAAAAAAATTTCATTAGAGAAACATGTTATTAAATTTAATTTTCTTTAAATACATAACCTTTTCCCATTCTCAGCCACTTGGGGGGGGAGGAGAGGGAGACTCCACCCCCTCCATCTTGGGGGCTACATGTGTAAAGCCTGAGATGGTGAAGATGAAGTATAAAAATACTATTTACAGAGGGGAAGCAGACACCTGCCCTACTGTAACCTCCCAACACCCCCACATGCCAGAGCCCTTATGCTTCTAAAAAAAAAAAAAAAAAAAAAAAAGCCCCAGGAAATGGGCTGAGGATTAGACGGCCCCTCCTACAGAATGGGGTATCTTCAAAACCAACAAGGCATAGGAATCTCTGAGATTAACCAGGGCCAGGAAGAGAACAAATAGCACCTCTGATCCTAACAGGGGAGGCTTTGGTCCCATCACCCTGCAGTGCCAGGAAGACGTTGGCCTTTGTTTTCCTACATCTCATGTAAACATCGACTTTTCCCTTTTCTAGGTCCCTGCCCTCTCCTTTGCTTCATAGAGAGCCTTTCCTCTTGGGTTCTCAATCTTTCCTTCCTTCCCTTCAAACCATCCCATGGGGAAGGTTCCAGCAGGAAATGAGAGATGTGGGTGGTCCAGAACCACTTCATCCTCAAGGTCAGAGTCGCTTGTTCTCCAAAGGGAAGTGTCTATGTTCACAGTCACAGGGTTTGACTCCTTCCCAGGGCAAGGATGAGGCAGGTGGATGGTCAGTCCAGTACCAGGAGAGAGTAGTCTGCCTGAATGAGTCCCCCAGAAGCAGGTAACAAACAGGAAGTGAAGCTCTGGGAGGCAGAGTCTGGGCAAGTCCCACAGTTCTGGCAATTCTGGTGGAAGCCCAGCCCTGTCACCCTTGCCTTTAAGTGAGCTCGAATGATACCACCCAGGTGCCCATGACGTGAGCCGTCTTCTCCAGGGTCCATGTGCGAGGAGCACTCACACCAGCTCGTCCAAAAGGATCCCGATGCTCTGCGAGGTCTCCGTGGGGCCTGCGATGGGCTTGTTGCACATGGGGCAGACACAACGGACTTCTAGCCACTTCACCAGACACCTGTGGAAAAGGGGAAGCGTTACCTCCGAGAGGACACTCCAGCGCAGAGGGTTTCAGCTGTCTGAGTCCAGCTGCTACTGGGAACAAAGTTCCCCTGTTCATGCCCCAAGCTAACCCCCCTGGCATGCTGAACTGCTGAACACCCGTTGCTGCTGATCAGCATTGACAGGGATTAGAAAGTTCTTGAAGATACCCCCTAATTATCCCTCCTCTACAGGACCACCCAAACCATCACATCCCCACATACTTGCGGTGAAAGGCATGCTGGCATGGAAGCACACCCAGCTCATCCTTCCCCTTGAAGTCTTCTAGACAAACTGCACAGGTCTGCTATGGGGGGTGGAGGGGCGGAGGGGAGAGGGAGGGAGAGAGAGAGATTGACTGTGTGAGCTAGGGGCCTGGAGGCCATTTTCACCCATCCATCCTGAATATCCATCTCATTCCCAGACAAGGAAACCCAGCTCCAGCCATCTCCTGGGTCAGCCAGACCAAGCTCAAGCTGTATTTATAAGACTGCACTGAGAGAATAGCAACCAACATGGCTGCCTAAACTGAAACCAAACAAATGAAGAAATTATAAATACAGCCACTCAGAAGCTCTAGCCACTTTTCTTCAAATGTTTATTCCAATATGAAAATGTGGGCTGGGGTGTGGGTCGGTGGCAGAGTTTGTGTTTATAGTTTATGAGATTCTGCACCATAATTAAAACCACTAAAGAGCACACACTGATTTCTGTGTACAGTGATACAGGCCCTTCAGAGAGGGCACAAATCTCTCTGCTCAATGTCCTGGTTTTGGTTTTGGGGGGACAAACTCTCACATAGCCCAAAACTGGCCTCCAACTCACTATATAACCAAGGCTACCCCTTGAATTGCTGATCTTCTGGTCTCCATCTCTCTAGGACTGTGACTATGGATTTATGCTAACACATCCAGTCTACTGTTGACAATCACGGAAATTCTCCCCCATAATGCACTGTTTCCTCAAGCTACCACCCTTCCAGATTGTCCTGGTGTTCAGTAGCTGTCATTTTCTCACAAGCATGTATCTAATAGTCCATAACAGGCTAGAATCTCCCCATTACTCCTTAGAAATGGATGCAATTATTTCACCGATAACTCCTCAGGTATTCAAATTATAAATGTTTGCAGCTCAGGACAGTGAATTTCATTCATGGTGCCTACTTTGGTGGGTGCAGGCTGCTTCCATATAAATTCTAAGTCTCCCTCAAACCCCGGAGGTGGCTGTCCATATATCCAACACTCAGCAGCTACTCATGGCTGACGGTTCCTACAGACTCAGAACAGCCCTGTTAACACAATTTTCTAGTTGACAATGTTGGTCTCAAACAGTTTTGTCTGCTCAAGCCTATAGAATGGGCTAAGGAGGTACACAGTAATAAAAAGTATGATGGTAGGGTGGTTGTGATGGCTATTCTGGTTTGTAAGGTTGACTATATCAGAATTTACTAAAACCCAAATGGCTGGGCACACATGAGCGATTATTTTTCTTTGTTCTTTTTGTTTTGTTTTGGTTTGGTTTTTTTAGGACAGGGTTTCTCTGCATAGCCCTGTCTGCCCTAGAACTCCTTTATAGACCAGGCTGGCTTCAAACTCTGAGATCTGCTTCCCAAGAACTGAGAGTAAAGTCATACTCCACTATGCCTGGCATTCTTTTTTTTTTTGAGATAAGAGTTCTCTGTGTAGCCCTCGATGTCCTGAAACTCATTCTGTATACCAACACCACCTGGCTCTGAGGAATTTTTTTCTTAATTAAATTGTTTGAAGTGAGAAGACCTACTTCTAATCTGGATCTCTGAGGTGATAATTATCCACCTCAGACTTCTTGATCTGGCAAGATCCCCCTTCAATCTGAGCCATACCTTCTGCTGTCAGCTTATATAGAGGACATAGAAGAAAATGAATTCTCTTTGCCTGCTTGTTCTCATTCTCAACTGGCCAGTCTATCCCTTCACCGGCTTTAGAGCCTACTTCTTTAGGGTTCCAGTGTATACTGAAGGCCAGCTAAGACATCCAGCCTCATGTACTGAGAAGCTACTGGATTCCTGGACATTCTTTTGGTATGCAGCCATTGTTGAACTGGCTGGACCACAGCCCGTAAGCAATTCTAATAAATCCCTTAACTATGTTCATTTTGTAAGTTCTGTTCCTCTAGAAGACCCTGACTAATACAGATAAGTGCTTGGTTACATTCTTTAAAACTAGACTTTTATACCTGTTTATGAAACTCCAAGATCTCAGCTACAGAAGGATTAGGAGTGTACTTTTTAAAGAACCTGAGTAACAGCAACGTAAAAAACAAGGGTAAAATGAGACCATGTCTATGAAGTCTCATGTTTGGCTATGCTTGAGTCCTATTTGTTTTCAGACAACCACAAATGGCTCACTCTCTGGGTTAGGAATGTCTGTGGTTACGGATGGAAGTGTTGGGAGATGAGTTATGTAACCTCAAAGATTCAGGAGACTGATCAGGAAATTGCCCGGTACTGCCTGGTTTTGTGTTGTCTTGACACAGGCTAGAGTCAGAGAGAAAGGAACCTCCATGAGAGGCTGTAGAGCATTTTCTCAATTAGAAACAAAGTGAGGAAAAGGCCCAGCCCATTGTAGGTGGTGCTATTCCTAGGCTGGCTGTCCTGGTTCTATAAGAAAGCAGGCTGAGCAAGCCACAAGGAGCAAGCAAGTCGGCAGCATCCCTTTATGGCTTCTGTATCAGCTCCTACGTCCAGGTTCCTGTCTTCTGTCCTAACTTCCTTTAGTGATGAACAGCAAAAGTGGAAGGATAAGCTGAATAAACCCTTTCCTTCCAAACTTGCTTTTGGATCATGGTATTTTATTGCAACAATAACCCTACAGACAGGCCCATTTAAAGATGGGGTGGAAGGAAAAGGAAGAAAGAGGAATGATATAATTATATCTCAGTTAAAAAAAAAAAAGATCAAGGTTGAGACCCTATGATATGAGCCTTACTTATTGGGGGTGGGTGGTGGGGTGGACAGACAGGCCACAACTACTCCAAGGTATACAAGTCACTGATCTGTTAGGACAATGTAATACACATAAGTAAAAGGACCTTTTTTTTTCCATCACAGCCCAGAGCACAGGTATCAAATATAGGAAAAGTTAGGAGCACATTGCATTGCCTACAGCACAAAGCCTGTCGCACCCTTATTGATTCTGCACAGCACACTACACATGGCGTAGAGCCTGTGACACCCTTACAGAATCTACACAGCACACTCCCAATCATGTAGAGCCTGTCACATGCTGAACAGATTCTGCGCAATTCCTGCTCCCACTTACCTTTTTGGATCCACTTTTTTTTTTTTTTTCTAGACAAAATGCATTACCTGTGGGGATGAATTCCTTCTGTTTGGACACAGGTTATCTGAAGGCAGGGACTAAAGAGTCTAGAAAATGTTGAAGAGATAAAGAAGGATGCTCTAAGCAGGATCTTCCCATTCTAAGATACTTACCCCATAGAGCTGCAACTTCTTAGCATCACCTTTAAGCACCACCTGAAAAGGAAAAAGAAAGTTGATGTCTGAAGATACCAACCACAGAGGCCAGAGAGAATCACCCATTGATGTGTACATCTCTCTCCATGAAGGTAGAGTGCAAACTCAGCTTGAGGACAGTGTCAGGAGTAGTAAGTCTCTGGGATGCCCAAGAGGCCACAGAATGCAGACTACAGGAGCTTGGGCTTGCTTTCTCTATCAGGGCAAATAATGAAAGGGGAAGTTTAATGCAAAGAGATGGTACGGTACCTCCTTGTAGCCATATCGCTCGCTCTGTGCCTGGTTCCGGAGTTTACTAAGTGGCGAAAAAGTAAGAGAAGAGGGCAAATTACCATGGTGTTTTAGGTAAGCAAGACAATGATAATGTCAAGTGGGCTGGCTGCTTGGACATTTTTCTGGAGGCAAAAAGGGAACTTGTTTCATAGATACCAATGAGGCATAGTTCAGATGTATACAGGCCATCCTGGGTTGATTAAGGGTTAAGGGTTTATGAGCAGATGCCAGCCACATTCTGGGCTCCAGCAGATGTTCTGAGGCATCCTAAATGGCTTATCTGCTTTCTTTGTCCTTTTTCGATAGGTATTTCTCCAGGTATCTAAACTGCATAGATCAACAGCATGCTTACTGTGTGCGGAAGGAGTTAGATATTTGAACTGGTTGACTGCACAAAGCCGCTCTCAATAGCCAAAACACAGCGTGTTGTTACACACAGCAGTGGTATAATAAATCCAGGCTATGTTATGGGTTTCTTGGAGACTGACACATTGTCTCACTGAATATAATCAACTCCAGGAGGGAGAAACCTTCTATTTTATAGATGGGGAAAATGGACCCCAAAGTAGTTAAGCAATTTGCCCAAACTTTGCAAAGTGGATGGGGGCAGTTTTGGGGTTAAAAGTCAGTCTATGTATGTGATTTCAGAGCCTGTCCTCTCAGCCACAGAACATGATCCAACCCCACACTTCCATAATTAGGTAGATTGCATTCTGAGTCCTGAGTTCTCATTTGATCTTGAGATACACTGCATGCTGTATTAAGCCTTTGACTTTGAGTAACGTACTGTGCAGATGGCTAGTACCGTAAGCATACACTGATTCTTACAACCGTGGGAGAAATTGTTACTTTGAGCTCTCCACATAGCTTTCTGATCTTGCTGTATAGCCCAGATTTGATTTCAAATTCATAATCTTCGTGAAGGATTGGGAGCTAGGCTTGCGGTACTGTGCCCAACTGTAGCTAGATACAGATGCTTCCAATATATGGCCACAGAACTTCCTCTCACCTTTCTGTTGTTGCTGAATGCTAGAAATTTATCCTGGTGCCTCAAGCATGCTATAATAATCAACTCAATTTGATTAAGAAATACTAGATAAGTAAAGAATATTTCAGGGTGTGTCTATGATGACATTTCTGGACACAATATCATCATGAGAGTTTTGGCCTGGTCTCTCCATGGATTCATGGTAAAATGGCTTTATGGAAAATTATAGAAAGAGGAACCCTGCCCTGGCCCCACTTTTCTTCTTTCCATTTTGTCTCTTGTCCAGTAAGAATTGATGAACAGCTTACATCACAAGCTCCAGCCACCACAATTTTCTGCTCAAGCATTTGAGGCAAAGTGACCATAGATGAAACTCTCCAAAACCACAAATCAAAACAAACAAGGTGTCTCTCATAGCAATGACAAAAGTAATCTATACACTGTGCACACGCCTCACCACTGAGCTGCTCACCCAGCACTTTCTAATGTAGGTCTGAGTATTCACGTGGCTATACTCACAGGGTAGACATGCTAAAAACGGCTTTTATTCTTCATTGAGTAAATACACACACACACACACACACACACACACACACACACACACACACACATACACACACGACTTATATTTCATGACCTGAAACTTTAGGGCTTGGTGGTGTAGCCCAGTGGTACAGTATTTGTTTCCCATGCATTAAATCCTGGGTTTGAGCCCCAGCACTTAAAATTTTTTTTTTTCATTTTTAAAACTATATCATTAGCACATCAGTTTATGTATTATGTCTGACTGCCTTTGGAATCAGCTAGGACCATGGCACAATGGAATTGCTAGCCTCAGGTTGCTGGCCTGAGTTACAAATACAGAACACCTCATTTCAGCAGCCGAATCCCCTCCCAGGATGGTGAAGAAGTAGACTGTAAAACCATGCCTGAGAGGTAGATTGGGGCAGATAAGATCTGGCTACCAGCCTCCTCCATCCTTCCTGACAGGAAGTCATGTGGTCTGGCAAGCCTGACTGTTCCTGGAGCCTCTGGGAAAGTCCCAGCAACCTGGGTTCCTGCCAGGGCTTGGGGCTGAGGCAACACTGCCCCCTCCCATTCTCTCTACCATGAGCTTTCAGACCTGGGCCAACCAGAGATTCCCAACTGTCCCATCTTTGATGTGCAGAACTCGCTAGGCCTAAGAAAAGTTTTCATATATAATGCAAGCATCTTTTTCGCAGCATTCCAAAGGAGACGGGACACCAGGTATGGTGGCGCACTCCCGTAATCCCATTACTCTAGGTGGTGGAAGCAGGTGGATCACTGTGAGTTTGAGGCCAGCCTGGTTTACAAAGCGAATCCAAGACAGCCAAGGCTACATAGAGAAATCTTGTCTTGAAAAACAAAACAAAACAAAACAAAACAGAAACTTTTATTTTCTTTCCTGTTTGAGAGTCCCATGTAACCCAGGCTAGCCTTAAAACTGGCTATGTAGCCAACGATGACCTTGACCTCATGCCAGGATTATGGGAGCTCCACTCATCATGCTCTGATTTAGCTCTAACTCCAATTCATCTGCACTCCTGTGCTCATACTGCCCTACCCTCTAGGTCTAAGGACTGAATGCTTGCTAGACAAGCTCTGGGTCACTGAGCTACATTCCAACCCCGTCTGGGAGTAGAAGTTTAAATGAGAGAATGCCACACATTTTTTTTTTAAAGGTTCAACTGCCTCACCAACAATATTGATATACTTGTGCTCTGCTTGTTTTACTGCTGGGTCCTAGTGCCCGACATCCTCTCACTATCATGCATGGCAGGCTCCCTTTAATAGAGATCCAGAACCCTCAAAGCTCCATCCTTGTTGGTGTTGTTTCTTAGACAGGGTTTCTCTGTGTAGCCTTGGCTATCCTGGACTTGCTTAAGTCCTGAGGGGATGGTGCTCAAAGGGTTGCAAAGAACACAGCAAAAAGCGGACTCTGGGCTCTCCCAGCCTCAGCTGGGAGAGCCAAGAACTCTGGACAGGTGGTCCTCTCAGCTGTTGGCTGAGCAAAGCAACTAAAAATGCCACAGTTTCAATGAGACCATTTCAAGCCCCTGCCAGCAGGCTCTCCCTTCCCTCTCTTCCCTTTTAGAACAAACAATGCAGCCAGCTCCTGAAAATAATCGTTCCTTTCCTGTCTATTTGTATTCTACTGGCCCCTCCATCCTGTGTAAGCAGAGGTCAGCTCTGAGGGGAAGGAGGGGACACAAGGGGCAGCTGGCATTTGAGGCGCCCTTGGCTCACAAGCTCACCGGGTCAGGGGTGGCAGCCGTGGGCCTATTTTGGCTGAGGTGGAAACTGAGAAGCAAGGAGAGGAAGTGGCTTATGTGCCTGTGAGTCTTTCTATATATAGACACACGTACCACACCAGTGAGCCTTTGGAACCAAGGGACCCAGGGGACAGCTGGCTCTGGACGAGCTACAGGACACAGGCTGGCTGATAAAGGAGCAGATGGCACTGTGCTTCACCACAGTGGGGACAGCTTTTACTGTCACATGGTCACTACTCTCCGTTCTGCTACAACCAAAACAAAACCGATTAGCGACAGACAGTGCTGCAGGACGCTGACACCCAGCTGACAGGGGTGGCCACTTCATCAGCTCCACTTCCCAAGCAAGACACACAAGATGAGCATGGGGGTCTGCAAGAAAGGTCAGATTAACCCACTTCAGCATCTCCCTGGAGGGTATGACCTTGAACAATCCTAAACCGTCTGGGCATGAAAGCCTTCATTTACACAGTTCGCTAACCCTTACATTGGAAGGTTGTTCATATACTTTAAATGAGCTATATGGTTTACCACAATGGCTGGCACAAGAAAGACCTTAGCAAAGACTAGCTCCAAACCTAAGGTAATGCCTATTAGTGGCAAATTAGGTAAGGAACCTCAGTCATGTACTTGGTTAGAATGCTAGTCTCCAGGTTTTCTTTTGAGAGAGAGAGAGAGAGAGAGAATAGAAAGGAACCAAATTAAAGAAAGAGTTTTTTTCTATCAGCCTTATTCTAAATAAATCTGGTATTTCTTTTTTTTTTCTTTCTTCCATTTTCCCCCCTGAAACGGGGTTTCTCTATGTAGCTTTCACTGTCCTGGAACTCAAGTCTGTAGAGCAGGCTGGCCTCGTACTCACAAAGATCCACCTGCCTCTGCTTGCCAAAGAGTGCTGGAATTACAGGCGAGCAGCCTGCCTCCCAGGAAATCTGTGCTATTTGAACATGCTTACCTTTCCCCTTCAGGAGAACTGAGTTATTACTTGATAAGGGGGTTGAGGGAAAAGATCAGTGAATAAGAATAGTTTGGGAAGGGAAATCATAGTTATTATAAGACAGAAAACGGAAACCTACATTCACTTCCACTTGGTAGTTAAATGTGAAATTTGCACTAATTATACCATAGGAAAAATAGAGCACTATTTTCCCTGCACACTTAGGTAGAAAAATTCAAGTTTTAAAGATTTGCGTGAGGTTATGGAGAGCCCCATAGCATCCATGGGCTGTAGGAGCAATGCTTGCCTCCTGTACATTCAAGAATCTCCCTTCTAGATAGAAGCCAACCCCCAGCGGGCAATCTCAAAAAGACACCAAGACTCCTAGCTCTAAATTTTCTAAATTTATTTGATTAGACCCCAGACCATGCTCCCTAGGCATTTGGAAATGTGTGTGGCAAGCTGGGCGGCGGTGGCGCACAACGCTAATCCCAGCACTTGGGATGCAGAGGCAGATGGAGTTCAAGGCCAGCCTGGTCTACAGAGTTAAGTTCCAGGAGAGTCAGGGCTACAAAGAGAAACCCTGTCTTGAGAAACCAAAACCAAAATGACGTCAAGGATTATTAACTTGTTCTGTTGGCCAAAGACAGACTACTCTTTCCTATGTACAGGGCATGGGACAATGAACCATCAGATCTAACAGAACACCCCAGCAGAACTCCACTTTGGTTTCTGCTTTAAGTACCAAGCATGTCCAACACTTTTTCCTCCACACGCATGTGTCTATGTATTCATATTCCTATGTGTATAAGCACACACATGTGTATATAGGAAACTGATACTGGCAGTCTTCCTCGGAGCCTCTCTGCCTTATTCACTGAGGCAGCTTCATTCTTTTGAACTCAGAGCTCATTGGTCTGCTAGTCTAGATAGCCAGCCTGCTAGAGGGATCCACCCCATCTCCACATTCCAGAGCAGGAACTACTTCAGGTCCCTTGCTCACCCATCATTAGCATAGGTTCTGGTATGTAAATCCCACTGCTGATATAGACACTTTTCCCAATGAACCATTTCCCCAGATTTTTAGTACAAAACAAGCCATAAATTCCAACATCCTTCACCATAAGAAGAACTAGTTCCTGGAGCTTAGCTACCCCTGCGAAGCTGAAGCCCTTCCCATGGATCCATAAGCAACAAATAGGTGTCATCCTTCCTTTCCACTCTTAACACTAAAAGCTTACAGGACAGAACAAACGAGTTTTTCTAGCATGAGCTTGCTAACATTGGGAGAACTGGCAATTTCACAGGAGGGCAAAAGAACCGATGTCTCCCACCCTATCCCTAGCTGTGAACGGGAAGCACAGGGCAGGTGGGGGGGGGGGGGGGGGCTATAAGCTCAGTCAACAGTCATTCTAGGCAACCTTAGAATAACTGGCTAAGAGGAGGGATGCAGTCCAACCCTTGGTGACCTTACGCTCTGGGATAACTTGATAGGCTATAAATAGAAACACCAGACTTCAGGAGTCCAGAGAAGGGCTAGCTAACATATACTCTCCCACCAGAGACTCCAGCACAAGCCTCTGATGTGTGTGTGTTGCCTTGTTCGATATCCTTTATGTCCTAGTCCCCTTCCTTCTTGATTCTGCCCCCCCCCATCAGCCAGCAAACAACCAACCTGATGAAGTAGCAGCAGAAGATGAGGCTGAGCATGAAGACGAAGATGCCTGTGCCGAAGATGACCATGTAGATGTTGAGAGGAAGGTCTTGGAAACTGATAGGTGGCATTGAGCAGGACTTGTTGTTACTAACCAGTCCCAGGCCACAGAAACACCCTGCAAAACAAGAGAATAAAAAACTAGAATTAGACACTTAACCACTGGGGCCCATTGTGTTAGCGGAAACCTCAGCCTCTAGCTTATGTTTATATCCCAGCACTAACTGCTAGCTACAGGGTCCTGAGTAAATTACTTAGCCAATCTATGAAATGGACTGTTATGCAAAGTACTTAAGAGGATTAAGAATTTAGAAGCGAGGTGGTGGAGGTGGTGATAGTGGCTGTGGTGGCACATGCCTTTAACCCCAGCACTGAGGAGGCGTTGGCAGATGGAACTCTTAAATTTGAGGCCAGTCTTGTCTACAGATTAAGTTCTAGGACAGACAGCGCTACACAGAGAAACTCTGTCTTGCAAAACAAACAAACAAACAAACAAAAGAGAATGTTGGCAAGGGCAGAAAATATAAACAGAAAACAACAACAAAATTGTCTCCAAGTAGGAGACACTCATTGAGTACAGTAGCAAAAAGAGCCTTAAGGTGAGAAAATACATTCAGTCTGAACCCACATGACCTTCAAGAAACTCTTGCCCTAGAATTCACCTCATCATAGGAAAACTGGCAAAACAGAGGAATAGGAATGTTGGTTTAAGAAACAAGCTTCAAGCCTGGCGTGATGGCACATACCTTTAATCCCAGCACTTGGGAGGCAGAGACAGGTGGGTCTTTCTCTGTGAGTTTGAGGCCAGCCTGGTCTACAAACTTGAGTCCAGGACAGCCAGGTCTACACAGGGAAACTCTGTCTTGAAAAACCAAAAAGAAATAGAGAGAGAGAGACAGAGAGAGGCTTCATAAACTGTAAAAAGCAGTTGCAAAGGTCATTTGTCACCACTCACCACCTGTTCCAGAAAACAAGCTGTGCCAGAACCGGAATAAAAATTGTTCACTACAAGTCCAGGCCAGTATTCCAGAAGTTAGTGATGGGGATTGGTGTCAGGAAATCTAGGCTTCCTTGAATGGTCACCTTTTTGCCCATGACAAGGTCTTCTTCTTGAGTCAATCCCATAAGAGCTTGTGAGATATGTGCAGTCTTGAGTCTATACTGCACTAAACGAACTGGATTCATTGTTTAAGAATCCTCTCAACACTTATTCCTTCTCATTGGCCCTCCCATGTGGCAATCATCTTCCCCTTGCCCATGCTTGGTGTCAGACTCTGGGCAGTAAACCAAAGAAGTCTTCAGAAAAAGGAAAGATTTTCCTAACTGAGCATAATAACATAACATTATAATCCCAGTTGTTTGGGAAGTGTCTACTCAAGAGGCTGGAACAAAAGTATCAGGAGTTCCAGGCTACTCTGAGTTATGCAGTGATAGCCCTGCCCCTCCCCTCACCAAAACACAACAACACAAAACAAAAATACCACAAACAACAAAGAACTAAATTCCTTAAGGAAATATTTTTCTCTCTATCGCCTCAGACATGTAGGAAGGTATTACTAAGACAGCTGGAAAGAGAATATAGCCAAAGGCGTTAAAGAATGATGTCCTTGATCTGTACATTATACAGATCTGCAAGGGACTGGGCTGTTTCCTGGCTTTTTGGTTAGGAGCCAGGATTCTACCTGGTAATTATCCCAATGGAGTGTTACCACAACCCTGCAGTAGACCAGTTACAGAGACTGCAATCAACTGTGACACCGCGTTATGGTTGGACTTGAAGCTTCCCCGCAGCAGGCTTAGCTGCTGATCTCTCTTCCTCTCTGCTTCTTAGATTCCCAGGAAGTAAAGCATTATCTTTCCTGCTTGATAGCCTGAAACCACTAAAAAAAAAAAAGTGCTAACATTTTCTAAGTTATGTACGATTCTGTGACAGTGAGGACAAAACTAAGTACATGCCATTTTTCTGTGTCCCCTCTATCACTTCATCCAAAAATCTAAGACCATGTCCACTCTACTGCCATATCCCTATTTTATACTTATTACCCACGCCTCCCCTGTTGATGTCGCTGTTTTTGTTTCTAATTATCCTACATGCCTGCAACCCCACCTACCAGGTAATTTCCAAACTCTTCTTGTCTGGTTTCAAGTCCACATCTCCATGAACATGCAGCCTGTCCCCTTGGAATATCCTATGTGCTTTCAGCACCTGGGCAAGTCTTTCCATATCTTGCCCTACCATGTCCTAGTCTGTCTCCACACCTTTGTCTATGTAGTCTTCTCTGCCTAGACGTCTTCCCTAGACCAAGTCTAGTCTTGGTCTTCGTGATAATTTTTCCTTTACGATGCCAGGGCTTGGGTGTTGAACTAGGACCTTGCATAGGCTTGGCAGAGCTCTCTCTACTACTGTGCTGAATGCTCAGAACCTTGCCTGGTCTTTGCGATATTCCAATGACCCTTCTGTCATGGAATTCTACAATGCTAAGGACTTGTATCACTTGCCATGGTTTCTGCTCAGAATATCTTTTTATCCTGCTAGTATCAATTTAATTTGATTCATGGTATACTCTGCATTGATTATATGGCAAGCACAGTCACTGACATGAAGGATAAAAGAACATAGAGGAATGACTGGATGACCTTCCATGTAGGAAAGTGACAGACTCAAACACCTTCCCTAACAAAGGTCAATGTGATAGCAGAGGTTGAGTCTAAAATTCTGAGAGCGGAAGACAGAGCCCAAAAGAATGTGTAGTCTTCCTGACACAATTCTAGACACACACACACACACACCTGCCCAGGGCTGAGGACACCAACCTGGACTCCTAGATACTCTGGAGTACCCTTAGCTAATGTTTGGTCTGTCTACATAGCTGGTTAACAGACAAATAACTTTCTGCTTTCTCAAAACAATCTAGTCTCCTTGGCAAAAGCTCCAGTTTCAAAGTAGGAAGACTGATGTTTGGGAAAACTGCCCAGAAACTGCCCTCAGCTAATAAATTACCAGTCAGCCAACAGGTATTGTTGCGGGTCTGCTTTATACACTGACCTAGACCTTGTGGGAAAACAGAAAGTGAAAGACGTTCTTGTTCTGAAGGAATTTTCAATTAGGGGAAATTAAAGAAGCAATTAGCTATTAAAATTTGCTTTGCTCAATAGGACATTTCTTGCTTCTAGCTTCCACTGGAGATGGGTTAGAAAGAATGCCTTTTTCATCACTGGTTCCCACTTGCGGATTTGTTCTCTGTGGGCCTTCCTCAAAGCAACTCTCTACAAAGGCATCACACTAGACCAGCATCCTTCACTATGTACCTCTAAAGGGCCTCAGAAACTCCCTTCCAGACAATTGTATCTTCAGGACCAACAGGACCTTCTACTGCCAGCAGCCTCTTCATCCTGCCACAGACTTATTTGAAGCTGTAAGAGGGCCAAACATCCTCTACATTTGCCATGGTTCTTTTATGTACCTTATCTAAGCAGGACCCTGGTATCTACTGGGTCCTAAACAACCTCTTATTTCTATTCTGTAAAGGTAGAACTGTGGAAGCTACTATTGTGGGCATATTTGCACCCCGCAGGGATTTTGGTTCCAGCAGTCCAAGATCACTTTATCTCCATCTTTTCCCATCTCCTAAAAGGCTTTCCCTAGGGATCTAGGACTAAACCAGTGAATTTGGGACTCTATGGAATAAATAAGGAGGCAGCTTCAAGAGTAGACATTCAAGCCTGTGTCCTGTAACAGTTTCCTCTGAGATTAAGGTTTCATCCTGCAGGAAGCTCCTTAAAGCAGGAAGGTAAACAACCCCAATAGCTTCGGGAGGTTCCTGAAACTGACCAGATTCACTTAGGCCCCTCCAAACCAAAGTAAGCAATAAAAGCAGAGAATCTACCATCATAAAGGAAGCCAAGCTACAAAGATTCTGAGACCAGACCAGGTTCTTGAAAGAAGCACGTTGCCTAGAAGACACTGAGGCTAACTGAAGCACCTGAAAACTTCGCTCGCCAACCTGTTGAGCTGCTGCCCGCAGGCTGTGCTGTGTGCTTCAGGTTTCCCGTAGTGGGGCAGACCTTAGTGATGCAGCTATCAAACCCCCTTTGTAAGCAGCCTGAAAAAAGTCATTGGTTCACGAAGTTGGATTGTGGCGGTATCCATTTTGGTCTGCTGTGGGCTTCGTGTCTGGGTTGAACAGACATGTGAGTTACACCTCCCCAGAAAGTTTTGTCAAACAACAGCATGCTGTCATAGTAGCTTTTGTGTGTGATCCCAGCAGTGTAAGGCATTGGGGCAGAACTATGGGTGTTCCTGAGGCCAGCATGGGTGACAATAAAAAACTGTTTCATAGACCAGGCTGGCCTAGAACTAACAAAGAGTGCTGGGATTAAAGGTGTGCACCACTACACCTGGCTCATTCTTTACAGAATTGTTTTGCATATTATTTGGTTTTTTGTTTGTTTGTTAGTTTGTTTTACTCCAGAATATTTGTACATACATGATGTTTCTAGGATAGGACACGTCTCAAGCCTAAACATGAAATTCATCCTGTTTCATATACATACACCTCATTCACACAGCCTGAAGGTAACTGTATACATTTTAAATAATTTTGTGCGTGAAGCAAAATTTAATGGTGTGAAATCTTCTCTTGTGACACCATAGTTGACTTCTATAAAATTTGAACTTTACAAGAAAGCAGCCTGCCATATTAAAAGTTTTACAATTAAAACTTTTACTTTTTATTGTCCAAATTGGACAGTAGAATTTTCCTTAAAACTTTAAGGTCAAAGAATATTCATTCCAGGATTTGGGGTTTCTAGAGGTTCTTCAAGGAAGCAAAAGTGTGGTTACATTCCCTTTGGAGTCATGAGACAGGGCCTGCCAATCACTTTAAAAAGTACAAGATAAAGGTACTTTTGCAGGTCTGTTTAGTAGGAGCAAAGCTCTGGGTTCTAACGAGGGAGGGGGCAGGGAACAGTGTTAAGATGGAACACTTTCCAAAGGAGGCTGCTCAGAAGGTGGGGGTGGGGGTTGCTGACAGCTTAGCCCTAGCTAAGTCTCTGGTCCATTGTCTTCAGACCTGACACCAGAATGTCTCATCTCAGCTGGCAGACTGCAGGCAGGAATGACGTCAGAGCAGGTCTGGCCAAGACCATCGGATCTGGGAACTGCTGCTTTCCAGCCAAAGGCAATCTTTCCCAGATGCTGGGACACACCGTCATGCCTCAACCCCCATTCTCCCGCCACCCCCGCCTATCACACACAGCTTGATTCATTTTCAGGAAATTAGATCCGAATAGCAAAGGGAGGAGGGGGAGGGGTGGAGTGGGGGCCACTCATACACATTCGGCCGAAACCCTGCTGTAAAACAAAAGACTCTTGAAATAATTAATCCAAGATCTTGCAGAAGTCTACTTAAGAATGGATTCACACACATTCTCACACACACACACACACACACACACACACACACACACAAAAATACAATAAAATGCCACCCACATCGTCCAACTCTTCATGCTTAGAAAAAGTGGTCAAGATTCTAGGCACTTCTGGGGAAAGAGTGGGTGGTAATAACATCTAAGGCTTAAATGACTGCCTCAGAAAGATCCATCAGGTAGCTTAACAAAACCCAGACCCACTTCTATCCTTTAACACCTGAGCCTCCCAAACGCCTCAGGTGAACTAATTTAGCATCATCACCCCCTGCTGGGGTGTAGGAAAGGGTTGGTGCCTGGAGATGCTGTCGCCACCTAGGATGAAAGCAGACACCAAGGTCTGGCCTTGTTGGCCAGCTCAGCGAAGGTTTTGCTGATTGCTGAGCTGGGGGCCCAGCATTCCGCAAGGCTTCTTTATCTATTCCGTAAAGCGTCGCTCTTTAAGTCAGCGTCTGGCCCCTAGGAGCCAGTGGGAACCAACAAAGAGAAAGTAAGTCACCCCTCGCCTTGTCCCGCACGCTGCACTGTATACATATTTAAAATAGCCTGCAAAGTTTCAGAACCGGAACTTGAGCTCCCTCTAGGAGATCCTAGCCCGAGCGCGGATTTAATTCTGCAACCACCACAACAAAGAACAGAGTTTGAGAGCGCACAAAGGCAGGCGAAGGGGTAGCAAGAGCCAGATCGCCACACAAAGCTTGCGAAGCCCTGGGCTCACACGGCCCCGGGCCCCCACTCGCTTTCAGACCTCCCTTTTGTCCCCAACACTGAGAATGGGTCCTTTCAAACTGAGCGCTGCGCAGAGCACCGCGGGGCGCCAGGACCTTCAGGGCCGTCCCAGAGACCGGGAAACTTGGCACACAGGACCTGGACCTGCGCGGTCTCCGCTCACCCACCTGTCCAGGGACTCACCGTTACACCACTGGAATGGGTGCATCAATGAAGTCAAGGTCGGCTTCCCCGAACGAACGCAGACAGGGTGAGGGGGCCGGCGGGGCTGTGCACGGAGATGGCCCGGCTGGAGCTGCAACTACCGGAGGAGTCAGGGGCTGCAGAGAGGCCGGTTTGTAGAGCAACAAAGAGGAAAGAAAGTCTTCTGGAGCGGAGCTCTGCCCACGGGAATCGCGAACGGCCCGGGCCGGGAGGGCAGCGAGAGGGCCGGGGCACGGAGCGGGGTTTGGGTCCCACCGCGCCAAGCAGTGCGCGCTGGGATTCCGAAAACTGACACCGAGCGGTGCACACCCCCTCCCTATGAATGCCCCCTCCCGGGAGCCCGCCCCCTGCTCGTCACCTGCTCTCTGGCCAATGGGAGCCTTACTCCTGCCCCTGGGTATTATTTACAGGCTTGTTCTCTCTGGAAGGGGGAGCTTTTTTGCTGGGTAGACTTCTATTCCGCCTCCCAGACAGACCTGGGGAATCCCCAGTCTGCTGAAAAGCGAGCGGGGCAACGCCCGCAGGGGGCGGGGACCGCCACCTCCCAGGACTAGGGAGGCGGGGAGGGGGGTTGTGTGATGGAGGAACTACAGGACGATTTAGTGCCACTTTTGTTTTCCGCCTACAGAGCGTGCCTATCTCGGATTTCTATAGCGCTGTAGCAGCCAGTCCTGGGGTTGGGTTCCACTTGTCCTTTGGACGTGTTTATGCGTGGCAGCTAGAGTATTCCCAGACCCACTGCGAAAGGAGGGAACCGAGGCAAGAGGGCAAAGCAGATGAAACCCAAAACTCGGATCTTCGAAGAGCTATTGTTCTCACCTAACTTCAGGACAGAGCCTTAAAAAAAAAAAAAAAAAAACACGCAAGAATTTAAGGCCTAAAGGAAGGCCATAGCTTGCCAGCATTCCAGTCTCCTAGATTGTGACTGAAAACCAGGAACTTGCTTTGTTAGTGCCTGAAGGGGTAAGGGTTTTTGCCTCGGTGTTGAATAAACCTAAAGAAGAAAAGACAGCTCAACTCTCCGTGTAGTATTATTCATTTTGCATGACACTGCATCGTTCATTTATGTTTATTTCATATATATATGAAATATATATAATATATATATATATTCCTGACTGGCCCCCAACTCTGCCTCCAGAGTGCTGGGATTAAAGGCATTCACCACCACACCCAGCTCATTTATTTCTGCTTTTGTTTATCTTTCCTCTTAAAAGGAATTATCATCAAGGTCATAGTATCATTCAAAGTGCCTTGGTACGGAAGCCATATCCTTTGTCAGAGGCAGTGTGTGAGGAGAGCCGCAAATGAGCAAACACCATGCTGCTCCTCCTGTGACACTTTTTCACACACTATTGATCTGTCCATTGGAACGGAGTACTTTCCCCTAACTCTGGGGAGCTTCTGGCACCTAAGCAATCTAATGCATGTGAGTGCTTTGCTGTCTCAAAGTATAGTCGTTAAAGTATCAAATGTCCTGGCTAGCATCACAGAGCTGCTGGAACAAACACAGTCTTCTTATCGCTGGTGATGGTCAGATGCTCTCCAAATTCAGAAGGTCCTTGTGGACAGCGACACAGTATTTGCTTGTAATCCCTTAAAGTCAAACCATACCCCTCATTATTTGAAAAATTTGGCAATATGGAGGGCTCACTGTAGTTTATCAATTGCTTAGTTAACAATTCGGTTCTTTCAGAGCAAGTGGGGGCATGTAATATACAGATGGAGCTGCCTTCTCTTGTTTTTGTTCTTGGTCTGGTTTTTGAGACAGGGTTTAACTGTGTAACTCTCTAGCTGACCTAGAACTTACTATATGGTGGTAGTCCATGTGTTTAATCCCAGCACTTTGAGAAGCTGAGGCAGGCGGAACTCTGTGAGCGAGCCTGGTCTACAAAGTGAGTCCAGGACAGCCAGGACACAGAGAAGCCCTGTCTTGAGGAAAAAAAAAAAAAAAGACTAGACTAGCCTGGGATTAAAGATGTGGGGAACCACACCAAGCTTCCTCTTTTTCTTTTTTCTTTCTTTCTTCCTTTCTTTCTTTTTTTTTTTTTGTCTTATTTTCGTTTGGTTTTTCAGAGACAGGATTTCTCTGTGTAGCCCTGGCTATCCTGGAATTCACGTATAGTCCAGGCTGTCCTTGAACTCAGAGATTTGCCTGTCTCTGCCTCCTGAGAGCTGGGATTAAAGACATATGCCACCACGCCTGACCACCTCTTGATTCTTAATGAGATCACTGCAGAGACTTCTAATCTCTGATCCTCCTCTGTCTCAGACTTCAGAGCCACGGGAATCACTATGACGGGAGACATGTGACATTTACTAATTCCCAAGCCTGAGCACAGAGCTTTTAAAAAGTGCACCAGAAATCCTTCTGCTGTGCCTTGTTCCCTGTAATAACCCTGCGGTTGTTTCGGGTAGTACTCTGATGTGATACTGACCAAGAGTTATTTTTCTAGTGTGTACGTCTGATTCTTTCCTTTGCTTCATAATTTTTACTGGCTTTCGATGCTTACAGGTTTGGTTGGCATTCATAGCCCTATAGCCTTTGCTTGCCTTCCTGATGCTTACCTTCCTCGGGTGCTAGTCATCGGTCAGGAAGCCCCCAGTTTTGCTTGTTTAGAAGGTTTTTGTTTTTTAATTGAGGGATGCCGTTCATGCCACTGCTTGAAGTCAGAGGAAGTCACTTCTCTTCTCCCAGCATTTGAATCCTGGGGATCACACTCAGTTTGTGAGACATGGCAGCAAGCACCTTAACTCATACCCCCAAGCCATCTCAATGCCTTCTTTTCTGACTGATTTTTTTTTTTCCTGTGTGAGTGTTGGGTTGGTCAGGTGCGCAGTGTGTTCAGTGTGGAGCTGAATTCTGTGCCCTGAGATCTGGTTGCAGTTCAGACATGGACATTGTCATGATGATTGCTCATCTTGTGTAAATGTTACTCCTCAGTTATCTCTGATTGGTTTATAAAGAAGCTGAGCAGCCTGTGACTGGGCAGAGGAGGAAGGAAGGCTGGACTCCTTTCCCCAGTCTTGGGGTCTCAAGTAGGGACCACGAGGTTGAGAGAGAGAAGAAGAAGAGGTAGAGAAAGAACGTAGTAGAAGCAGCCCAGGCAAGACCAATGTGGCAAGTAATTCTGGTCTTGTGGCTGGGAAGTTACCAGACTTGCATAGAGGGTTAGAATAAATATCTGCCCAGCTCTAGTGCTTCAAAGCTTGTTGAATAAAGCTAACAGTTCTGTCTCATTATTTGGGAATTAGACCAGGTGATTAGAAAAGGTCCTCCAAATTATACCATAATTTTATCTCTCTCTCTCTGTGTGTGTGTGTGTGTGGAGGGGGGAGAGAGGAACAAAGCGGGAGAGAGGGAGGGAGGGAGGGAGGGAAGAAGGGAGAGAGAGAGAGAGAGAGAGAGAGAGAGAGAGAGAGAGAGAGAGACTGTGTACCTAGTTAAGGCTATATAAGCCCAGGTTGTCTTCCTCCTCACAGAGAGCCACCTACCTCTGCCTCCTGAGTTGGGATCAAAAGCTGAGCCCACCATGTCTGAGTAGGTTAAACAGTTGTAACACATTTACCATTTTGGTTGGGGCATATTGGTGATAGGGGAGATTGTGAGTGGGTTGAGACAGGAAGTATGTGAGAATTTTCTGTCACTTCTTGTTTGTTCTTCTGTGATCTTAGACTACAAAGCAGAAAAAAAAAACCACTTAAGTGAAAAGCAAACTCCATGTGTGCACAGAAGTTACTAGATAGATGGTAATTCGTATTCACTGGTTCCAGGTCAGGTGTGATAGGGAATCCTACTCTGACAAAACTGTGAAAGAGGGAGAGCCTTTGAAGAGTAAAGCGACAAGAAGAGAGAAATTCCTTCAAACCTGTTTCCCTTCTGGCTAAATTGAGCTTCTTTGGGAAAACACCCAGAAGGCGGGCCAATGGAGGCGTTCATGCATACAGCTGGCATAGCTGAGCTGTGAGTATCCCAGGTGGTACTCACAGGAACTGTGCTAGAGTGGGGACCACGTGTTCTATAATTTGTACTCCCCTGCCCCCTTTTCTTTTCTCTGTAGCCCTGGCTGTCCTGAAACTCTATCTGTAGACTGGGCTGGCCTTGAGATCACAGATCTGTGTGCCTCTGCCTCCAGAGTGCTGGGATTACAGGTGTGCAAAATCACCACCCAGATTATAATTTCTACCTTTATGCATGGAATTTCGAGCTCCCAGCAAGTTCTCCTGAGTCAAGTTGCCTCATCCCTCCTGGCAGTGTGGCTAACAGTTCAGTGCCTCCAGTGATGGCTCACAGTGAACACAGCAGGTTGGAAGCCCTTTGCTTGGACACTGTAATAGTTTGGTTCGTCAGAAATCAGTCTGTACTCACATAGCCAACCGGCTTCTGTCAGAAGTGCCAGAACAAGAGTGGAGAAAAGACCATCAATGAAGAGTGTAAGGAAAACTGTATGTGGAAGGATGGAACTAAATCTTTATCGTTACTGCCAAACCCAATCTCGCCAAACCCAATCTCACCAAACCCAATCTCAACTCCAAGTGAATCAAACATCAAATCTTAAACCTGAAATAAACAAAACAAAACTAGCTGTGGCAGTTCAACACTTATGATTTTAGTGTTTAAGCCACACTTTTGGGAGGCTGAGTGGGAAAATCACTGTGAATGCTAGGCTCTCCAGCCTGGGCTACTGGGTGGGACCCCTGTCAGAAAAACAAAACCAAACTAACAACAAAACAAAAACCCCACAACACAGCACAAATCCTAGAACTATACTAGTCCTGCTGCTGCTGCTGTTACCATAAGAAAACACAAGCGGAACACTTCAAGACATTGGTATAGACAGTTCTTCTTTAAATGAAACCTCAAAGGCACAGACCACAGAAGCAAAATCATACCTCTGGATTATATCAAACTAAGAGGTTTTTGCAGAGCAAAGGAAAGAGTAGATTTAAAAGATAGCCTGGTCAACAGTGAGTTAGTTCCAGGATAGTCAGGAACTGCACAGAGAGACAGTCTCCAAAACAAACAACAGAAGGTCATCTACTGCATCTTCTGGGTTATAAACCGCCCTGCCCTATGGCCTAATGTCTTACCCAGACACACGGTATCCCTGGTCCCTTGATCCTAAACTGTCCCCATCAGCCTACCTTCCCAATGTTCTCTTATTGCCGGTCTACATTTGCTGTGTCTTAGTTTGTTGCCAGTGGTTTGTAGCCTTTATGTATCCTGGGGTTTCACCTCTGGTTTGACAGACAAATCTCCAAGCAAATACCCTGTCAGCCTCTGAAGCCAACTGGGAGAAGGTGGCTGGCACTA